GCCGTGGGGTAAAGGAAGTGGGAGCGGGGACTCAGATCCTTTCGCTGGTTCATTTCACCGGGGTGGTATAGAAGCCAGGAAAGTTCCCCACAATAGTGGGACCATTCCCCCGCTTACACATAGGCAGAAAGCCATAGCAGGAGCATCTCAACAGGGCAAGACTTAAGGAGGTGGTAGTCCTGAAAGTCAGCTCTCTGCAGAAGAATGGAGAGCTGCAGTGGTGGGCTGGACACAGGATGGGTTAAAAGTTGAAGCTGGGAAAATGGGGCCTGAATTTGCTTTCCCTGAAATGTGTTTTGCTTTTGTATTGGGTTAACAGACTCCATGGAGAAGCCTCATAGAAGAAGAGTGTGAAAAGGAGTTTAGGAGGGGTGGTAGTTGGCAGATGGATGACCAGCACTGTCCATGGCACTGTCCAGGTGGCACACTGAAACCCTGGGAGGAGAGATTCTCCATCTAAAGTGCCCTGTCAGGAAGGAGAAGTCACGAGAAAAGAAGCCACCTCAGTGCCAGAGCAGCTGCTGACAAAGGATGATGAGCTAGTACCCCACACCCAGCCACCAGAGGTTCACCTGTGGTGAGGGCAACTTTTATTCAGTGCCCCAACTGCAGTGACATTTCCAGGCATGTGCACACAGACTGGCCTCCTGGTGCCGGCTCCAAACTCTTCTCCACAGTCCATGCAGATCACTATAAGTTCTACTTGAGCCTCACCTTTGTATATCAGAAACACTCAATAGGCTGTAGATTGTCATTTCTCAGGGGCCATCAATTATGCTAAACACTCATCTGGGTAGATTATGTTTATTAGAGAAACAATATTTTAAAACTCCTCGAGGGCTGCGTCTACACTGGCAGCTTCTTGCTCCAGAACTCTTTTGCGAAAGAGTTCTTGTGCAAAAACTCTTCCAGAAGAGAGCGTCTACACTGGCATGTGCTTTTGAGCAAGAGATGTGCTTTTGTGCAAGAGCATCCATGCCAGTGTAGACACTCTCTTGAGCAAGAAAGCTCTGATGGCCATTTTAACCATAGGGCTTTCTTGCGCAAGAAATTCATGTTGCCTGTCTACACTGGCCTCTTGCGCAAGAACAGTTGCGCAAGAGGGCTTATTCCTGAGCGAGAGCATCATAGTTCTTGTGCAAGAAGCCCTGATTTTATACAGTAGAATGTCAGTTTACTTGCGCAAGAACACACAGCCAGTGTAGACAGGCAGCAAGTTTTTGCACAAGAGCGGCCGCTTTGGCGCAAGATCGCGCCAGTGTAGACACAGCCCTCATCTATGATTAGGAACCAGGGAAATATAAAACTGGAAAATCAGAGTCCCATTGCCAAAATATCAGTGTTTATTATTAGAATTAATTTGTCCATTTAAGAATAATTAGAAGAAAATGTATGATGTGGCTCCAGGGGCTATGTCTACACTCGTGGCTTCTTGCACGAGAAATATGCAAATGAGGCTAAGCGTGGAATATCACTGAGCCTCATTTGCATACCTAATGAGCTGCCATTTTTGCAGAAGAGGCTCTTGCACCAGAAGGAGCTGTTTACACTGCCTCTTCTTGCACAAGAAAACGCCTCTTGTGCAATGCCATTATTCCTGAAAATAATCAGTGTAGCAGCATTGCGCAAGAGGGGTTTTCTTTTGCAAGAAGGGGCAGTGTAGACAGCTCCTGGTGCAAGAGCCTCTTCTGCAAAAATGGCAGCTCATTAGGTATGCAAATGAGGCTCAGCAATATTCCTCATTTGCATATTTCTCACGCAAGAAGCCGCAAGTGTAAACATAGCTAAGGAGTGCATCCATATTCTGGACAGCATTTAAACAAATGCTAAGCACCTACATAACTCCTACTACAACCAGAGAGACACCAGTGCATGGCCAAGTGTTGACTAGATCAAGGGATAAATATATGATCTATCACCATGTGGCCACTTGTACTATGTTATAGTCCTGCTGCTTCTGTCTTATATGAATGCACACAGCTTTGTCTTCAACTTCAGTTGGGTTTATTTCTCTGCCACTACTGAAAATAACAAAATATGTATACATCTCTCCACCACCTGCCCCCCACATAAATCAGTCATTTCCAGGCTTGTTGGGAACAGCTCCCTGAAACCACCAGCCTCTGGCAACACAAGCACCATCCTCCAGGTCCTCTCAGGCATTGTCCTTTCTGCACAAATACTATGTGTAGACTGCCCCCTCTTGCTGCTTTTTTTAGGAAGAACGGCTCTTGCACAAGAAGGGGGTTTTGCACAAAAAGGAGCAGTGTAGATGGCTCCTTTTTGTGCAAAAGCCCTTTACGCAAAAATGGTGGCTCATTAAGTATGCAAATGAGGCACAGCGATATTCACTACTTTGCCTGATTTGCATTTTTTTTGCACAAGAGGGGGCAGTCTAGACATAGCCAAGTGTTAGACCCACATTAACTCTAGATGGCTCCTTTTTGTTCAAAAGCCCTTTACCAGTGTAGATGGCTCCTTTTTGTGCAAAAGCCCTTTACGCAAAAATGGTGGCTCATTAAGTATGCAAATGAGGCACAGCGATATTCACTACTTTGCCTGATTTGCATTTTTTTTGCACAAGAGGGGGCAGTCTAGACATAGCCAAGTGTTAGACCCACATTAACTCTCAAGAGCTCAGAACACTCCATGCTGTGTCTGGCCCTGATCCATTCAGGACCCACATTAACTCTCAAGAGCTCAGAACACTCCATGCTGTCTCTGGCCCTGATCCACTCAGCTTGCTGTTGCCAAACAAAAAGCACACACCATCTCATGATCATCCCTTTATTTCACAGCACAGCACTTAGAAGTGTTGATAATGAAAACAAGAACACATTTATTATCAAGGACAAGAGTGTCCAGTAACAGCAAGCAAGACTATTGAAATCAAATGGTTACATATGAAGCACCAGTAACAGCAAGCAAGACTATTGAAATAAAATGGCTACATATGAAGCAAAAGCAAGCTTTTTCTATAGACTAGCTAAACTTAACTAACAGTTGACCTCCTGGCAAAGAAGCTTATCTCATGCCACGCAAGCCTGCCTGGGATCCCAGTTTCATGAAGCAACCCTGCTATCCATTTGCTTCCTAAGTGAGGGATGTGTGGGTGCCTACTTTTCCCCTCAAACATAGTAGAACAAACCTTTTAAGAGCACCTCAGGATAAGGTTCTCCCTCTTTGCTGTTTTCTTCCTATTAATTACTTTCTGAATTAACAATCCTTCATTTGCATTCAGTTCAGACTGGTGATAGGAGACTGAATGTGAATGGCAGTTTGTACAAAATAGATGTCTTAGCATCTCTTGTCTGACCAAAAATTTCTTTTCCCATTTCTTTACTTTGTTGGTGACCACCTGCCAGAAACAGACTTTGAAAGCATATATTCAGTAAACATACACTACACTTTTTGCACAGTATCCTGACATATATTTCACAATATTGATGACCAGTGCCACACTGACTCTTATTTCAGACTTGCCTAGAACTATGGAATCACTAGCATGAGACAGTAGAAGGAGAAGAGAAAAATAAAGAAAATAAACATTTCCATTGCATTTTCCATATCATGGTTCCGGGGTCCAGAATGTCATGTTAATTAGATAGATTCAGGGGAAGAGACTCTACCATAGAAGAGAATGCATTGGGTGTTGTGGTGTCTGATAAAGAAGAGGAAAGGGTGATCAGCCAAAAACGTTACAGGTGTTTTGATTGAGGTTACACCTACGCTAATTCCAGTTGCAGCTGCTGCCACAGTGCCCTCTTCATTGACCTCTATAAAAGCCTTATGGACAGCTGCATTGAGAAACAGGTCACTAGCTTCTGATATTCCAGACAAATCTGATTCCGGGGAAAACATGTCGGTCATTCCTAAAGCTTCTAAATAGGCATTCAGAGAAATGTCTGTCTGGATTTTGAACTGAGGAAGAGACACTTTCACGTCATCTTTATTCATATAATTGGCACTGATCCAAGTTGTTAATTTCTCATTGGTAAGTTCCTTCTCCAGCTACAGACATAAAGATACAAGGGCATCAGAATCATGCAGTTATGTATGCATCAAAATCAACAAGACATTGAACTTTGTGAGCAGGTGGGAAAAGTGACTTTCATTTACATGGAAGCATGACTCTTAAATGCTATTGGGGTCAGTAGCATGTAGTTCTCTAAGACGATGTCTACGTGGAGGATCAGGGATTCAGGTTTGTTAGCAAGAGTCAGGCTAAGTCTGTGGCCTGACAACACGAGCGCTGTAATAAGACGCTGCCTTCGCCTCTTGCCTCCATACGGAGATAAGGATAGAATGCTGACTCTGGCAGGGACCTTGAGATAAGGAGCATCAGGGTGGAACTAAAATAACTGTCAGCCATTGATGTTTGTAATGGGAAGGAGACTAATTGTTTAATGTTATTATATCTAATGGACAGTATATAAACTGCCTCATAATTGCTTGTATTCGAAGATCTGCCTTGGGGAGCGGGGGCTTCCCCCCATCCAAATCAGTTTTTCCCTTGCTGCAGCTTGTAATAAAACTGCCTCCGGCTACTTGTGCTTGCAAACGTGTTTCCCTTGCTGCAGCTCGTAATAAAACTGCCTCCGGCTACTTGTTGCTTGCAAACGTGGAGTGAGGACGATGTTTTCTTCCACATCTACAAATGGATACAAACCCCGCAGCTGGTCACATCAGCTGACTCAGGCTCATGGGACTCGGGCTCCAGTGCTGAAAAAATTGTTGAGTGGATATTCAGGGTCAGGCTGAAGCCCAAGCCCTGGGACGCTCCACACTCACTGGGTCCTAAAGCTCAGTCTCCAACTTAGCCTCAGTGTCTACACAGCAATTTTTTGCTCCTCAGTCCTTAGGGCTTTGATTTCCCTGTAGCTGCACCCTAAAGATTTCCAAATAAGAGTTTGTCCAGTGGAAGGTAGGAAGGAAGGAAAGAAAGAAAGGAAGGTAGGTTCTATTAATGTAAATATAATGACCACAAGGCTGGGTCACCAGTGAAAGTCAACTTTTAGCTTCAATGTTTAGACCTCTACCATTAAAGTAAAGGGAGTCAATGGAGTCAGTGGCTGTTTTGCAACTGAATTGTGTAGGCAAAGGGTCAGGGAGTTGGATCGGATGCTAAGCTTGGCAGCAATATGTAGCAGATACATTATTGGCTCTGTGGATCTGCCAATGTCCTACTTATATTGTATTTATTATTTATTCTTTTTAGACTTGTCTGTGTGAGTATAAACTGTTTCAAAATGGTGAAAATACAGAACATGTAGCTATTAGGTATTGATTACATTGTCACTGTGCCCTATTTTTAGCATAAAAAGGCTACCTGTTTGTTTTCTGAAAAATCAGAACAGAACAACACAAGCAGCCTGCCTTCAGATCTACTATTCAACACTGTATACACTGCATCAAGGAGGAAAGAGGTAATTTTTCTCTATTCTGTCTGCCCAGGTGCTCAGAGATACATAAGACATTTCCCCATTCATATTCTAGTTAAAGGTTATCCTGTCATCATAGGTAACTTTACCTTTGTTAAACCCGCGTGGTCTTTTGGCAGCAGTATATACATACTCAGCTCACAACCCTTGTATGGAAGTTCAAGCACCTGGCAATCATACTCCTTTATTGTAGCTATATTGTACTCGCCTCTGTGGTTCATCATCTGCACAGGCTTGCTTGTCGTCTGAAAGCAATGACAACAAGTAATGAATGAGACAAATACAACAAATCCTGTTGTATTTAAACATTTTTCCTGATGTAAGCAGGGTCTGAATGAATATTTCTATTACAGCTAGCTAGAATGGGAGAGAAACCCTGGGTGCATTTATGTAAATACAATTTGACCCTGCTTCACTTAGGTGTGTTACATATTCAGCTGATGGAATAGTGTTTTGCTCATTGTAATCAACCTGGATGCTGGAATCCCTTATGGCTGGACTGTGCTTTGGGCCAAGAGCTGAAATCACTGAGAGCAGAAATCACTAGGTTTGGCCCAGAGACAAATCCACCACAAGCCAGCAGGAGATGGAGGGGTGTATTGATCAGCCAGCAGGGTGGCAGTGGAGAGGTGTAATGAACGGCCAGCAGAGCGGTGACAGGTAAGACATAGCCCAATGTACATGGGGGTGGGACTGTTTCTCATGGTTTTGGTTTTGAACTCTGTGTGTGGTGTTTTCTCACATTAATACCACATTTCTTCCCTCCCTTTTTATTAAAACTTTCTTTTTCTGCACTCGGACTTTTTGCTTGTAAGTGGTGCTCAGGTGTGTTGTGTGAATTTCCAAGTTCTGTGTTGGATAGATGGAGAGGAGCCCCTTAGATGTTGAACCATGTCCTGGCTGTTGCTGGTTCTACCTGGCAGAGAGGTTACACTTGTATTATGTCTTCACTTGAACCCAAATGTTGCAGTAGTTGTTCAGGGCCAGATAAACACCTTCCAAAGAAAACTATATACAGTCTCCAAACACTCCATAACAGGTTTTTTCTCCAGATCTGTGTCAAGGGAAATAGGCCAATGTGAAGTACGGGGGGAGAAGGCAAGTGGGAAATCCCCAAAAGCCCATCCCCAGGATGCAAGATTCCAGCATGCTGCTTCTCCTCTGACCCTTGAAAGCGGAGATATTACTGATTATCTCCTTGCACCTGCACTCAGGCAAATCCATTATAAGACACACAGACGATCCAGAAGAGTAAATGCTACTTCCTTGGACCAACAGTTTCAGAAATTGCCACTGGTACTGAGGGCCTCAGGGTTTGGCTGCCCAACTTGAGCACCATGCTAAGGGCATTAAAACTACAGCCTCTCTTTTACCTTTTCATTCAATTTACATGTCAGTCTAATAGCATCTTCTCAGGTCAAACTAACCCAGAGATTTACAAAACCTACAAACAATAGACACATACAAAACAATGCAATGGAATCAAGGTCCACTGGAAACAATATTCCTTTCCCTAAACAAATGTGTCCCTTGCAGCATTACCAACCTATTTTTGCTACATTGTGCTAAAATGTGACCTTCTATTGGTGAAAGATGGTGAAATTTAATTGTGTATACATTTGTTACATTTATTGCCCATGTTACATTTATTGCTATGTTACATTTATTGCCCATACCACACAGATGGAATATCACAGGGATGAGAGACAGAATGTCACCTAAAATCCTTCCGTTTGAATAGTCAGCCGTTATGGGAAAAAATGAGTCGGGAAATAAGTCTGGTGAGAGAATCTGGTGACAATGTGGAAACTGAACACAGGTTAAATGGATATTTTTCTCTCTGTGTGTCATTTGTGAGCCTGGCAGCAGAACAACTCATTGTAGGTCTGAATACAAAGCAAACAAGGTAAGGGGCTACATATGGTTGCAAATTAGATAGGCAGTGGGGGAAGGTACAAGAAGCAGCCTTAGCATAAGCCTTGTTCAGGGGCCGGTCAGGCTTTGCTCACATGAGTGCAATGCTACATAGGAGGGGGATAGCTCAGCTGTTTGAATATTGGCCTGCTAAACCTGGGGTTGTGTGTTCAATCCTTGAAGGGGCCATTTAGGGGTGCAAATGTGTCAGCTATGGTACTTGGTCCTGCTGTGAGGGCATGGGACTAGGCTCAATGATTTCTCAAGGTCAAGTTCCAGTTATATGAGATGGTGTATCTTCTTATTTAAAAAAAAAACTACACAAGGGGTCTGATTCCAACTGTATCTGCAACCCCATAGGAGAAGGGGAGAAAGCAAAACTACATCCTCACCACTTCCACTCATGAGAGGAGAAGAGCTGACAGGCCATAGAGGGAGGCAGATGCTGAAACATTTTATACACCAGCTTCCCCTGTGCCCCACTTTGCTTTGTGAGGCATTGTACTTGTGTCAGGCACAATGCACTTTACTAGTAGAAGCTTTAGGGAAACAGCTTCCTCACCAATCACACAGCTGGTCCCTAGACCATAATGGAGTTCTAGATTTAAGAGACCATGTGCCCCAGTAGCTCCTCATGGACTGCCAAGCCTGTGAAGTAACAGAGGAGCAATGATGTGATACATGTCATTCGGTAAGTTACCTCGTTAATGTGAAAAGGTGTTTCTTTGGTGTTTTCTTTCTTAAATTCTTCTGCCCATTGACCTTTGAAGTACACGGCATTCACGAGGACTAACTTAGTATCACCAGAAAGTGCACCCTGGGCAAAGAGGTCCTTGATTTTACCTTAAACAAATGGAGACAAATTAGTTTGGCACAGTGTTTTCCAAACTTTTTTATACCTCGGAGCATCAAACTCATTAAAAAACTTTTCATGGACCAGCACAGAAATATTTGCATCTTAATAATGGTAATTAATCTATTTGCATAGTTGTTATGGTAGTTTATTCTCAGCGGTCATGCATTATTTTACGTTGTATCTGTAGTCACACAATTCCCTGCCCCTAGGAGGAGCCCCATTCCGCCATGTGGACATCTTATTGTTATATCAAAGGAAACTGAATTAAATTTTGACACCAATCCAAAAAGTCAGTCAGCCTTTAAATCAAATAATCCTAAGGAAAAAATTGTTGCTACAGAAAAACAAAAACATAGACTCAAAAGTTATTACAAAATCATAATAAAAATGGGAAGAATTTATATTAGGAACATATTTTCTATGATTATTCTGTATTAAATAGCACCTAGTCTTCTATCTGCACCATATTTACAAATGTAAATAATGAAGGGCAAAGACTAATAAGAGCATCCTTTGAAGAATTAAATTAAAAAGACTCTAGGGGGACTTTTCTTGTCATGAGATCCATGTCTGTCAATTGCCATGAGGCTTTAGGCAGCCCTATCCCCAGAGGATGGATTATTTTTAACATTACAATGAACGAGGCTCGCCAACTGCTGGACTGGAGGATCTATATGATATTTTACCCAACCTGGTCTCTTTGCAGTTCAGTGCAGAACTGCAGCTGGAGCTGCCTTGTCCAGGCTACCTGGAGCTTTCAGCCCAACTGGTCAGTGCCCCTGCCTGAGGGGGGCATGCCCCTCTGCCTCACCTCTACCCTTTCCCCCCACAACCAACTCGCCCCATGTTCCAGGCCGGGTTGCCACTGGGAGCCTCCCTTGAACCAGTCCTGGGGGGTGGGCAGTCACTGCCCAGCTGGGACTCAGCTGGAGACACCCCATTCCCATCCAGCCTGGGGCAGATAGGGTTGCCAGGTGTCCGGTTTTGAACTAGACAGTCCGGTATTTGAGGGTTCTGTCTGGGAAACAAATTGAGAAAATACCAGATATATAAAATGTCCGGTATTTTCTAATTAAGGTAAGTTTCATTATTATTAGGAGTATCAGTACATAGTTGTGTACTGCCTGGCTGGTAGACACACTCACACTGCAGTACGCAACTATGCTGGGGGGGGCGGACCTGGGGGGAGAGGGAATCACTGGGGCCGGGCTCGCTTGTGCTTCACCGA